AAGAAGTAAAAAGCGAATTTCTCCGAAAAGCCAGTCTCTCGAAACCTGAAAGAGTGAGACTTTTAAAAGAAGAGAAAATACCTGAAAGCCTCTGTAGTGCATCTAATATATCTTCAGACTTCAGAAGGCTAGAAACCACCCTGAGCCCCTGCCCCCATCTCTGGTTTTGTTCAGGATCTGCCTCCTTAGACAGCACATATTATTTTTCCTGGTAGTTCACCCTTATCGCTGCTGTTTTCCTCTCCAGAAAGGCCTTGAATTTTACTTGCTGGTTTGTGTCATTTGATTTATAAGCTCAAGGGGTCCTTCACGAAACCTGGACTACTTCTTGTACTTAATTGCGACAATAAACTTAAAACTTGGTGCTTTAGGATAAGTGATCTGGGAGGAAATTGTTTGACATATGGAAGTAGATGGTAGGTCCTTCTTGTGAATGTCACCGAAGGGACCCAGAGGGGAAGGGGGTTTATAAATTACTATGAAATTCAGAAATGACACGAGCTGGGGGAGAGTGGAGCTCTATTGAGCAATACCCAACATCTGCAGAAGTCCTTCCAGCAGGTAAAATTCCCAACCGCCTCGGTTGCCGTGCCCAGGCTGCCTGACACCGGCGTTAACTCCCCGGGGCTGGGAGGCTGGGAGCTGCACAGAGACAGCTGAGCACGGGAAGGGGTGCCCTGAGCTTGCATCCCAAAATGTGAATTGCCAGGTGGAAGGAAAGGTGATAAACAGGTCACAAGCGTTTCCCCAGATTGCAAGGAAGGTGGGTTTTCTTTTCCTTTGCGGCATTACTTTAATAAAAATAATTCTTTACGTTTTAAAAGCTGTTTTTTCCAGCGCTTTGTGGCTGCAGCGTTGGTGGGGAACGGACACTGCTGAGCTGGCGTGGATGGGGTGTCTGCCGTGTCTGGCTGATGCCGTGGCCGCCTGCCGTGGCTTCGGGGGGTGCTGTGCCCCGCGCCCCCCTGCCGTGGCTCCAGTGCCTCCGAGTGACGCAGCAGTGAAAGAAATCGTGAAACACCTTCCGTGTGTCCATGCCAAGGAACGAGGGGTCACCTGCGGCACTACAAAGTGCAGCTCCAGCCGGTGTCCCCAGCACAGCCCCGGGAGGAGTCAGGGGGTGCATCCCCCCACCGTCGGTACCCAAAATACATCCAGGGGCCGGGAGAGCTGCCGCCACGCCGGCGGCTTTAAAACTATGTCTTCAGATGCCGCACCTCTTATTGAGCTTCCGGAGCCACGTTTTAAGAGAGTCACTGCATATTTTGTGTATTCTGGGAGACAAACAGACACACAAAGCTAAGAAGAAAGACCACGTAAATATTGCGGAGTCATCTGTTTCCAATCGTGTGTGTTTACATATTAATGTGCAATACAAATTTGTAAACACGAGCATTTGAAACTTTCGTAGGAACCGATACCGGCCTTTTCCCTTTCTGCAGCTTTATTGGAACAGCATGTCCCCTGGCCCCAGCCACACATGGACATTGTTTTGATACTGGATGCATTTCAAATGTTCTGGGTGCTTATTTGTTCTGCTCTGTCTTGCTATCCAATCCTCGTTTGTTTTGCATAATTGTGATACAAATTATCATCTAATTACAGACGAAACCTCAGAAGATCAAATGTAAACCAAGGCACTTCCATCAGAAAAAGCTACACGTGATGATGCCTCTACACGTTTGGCTTCTCCAGTGCATGTATTAAATTTGGGTGAAACTCAATAGTAAACTGCACTTTGATTAAAACCACTATTGCTGGGTTTTTTGGTCTCCGTGGTTTTTAAATCACCTTCCCAGAGTCTGAGCACCAAGTCCCAGCAGTGTCGGGTGCAGACGGAGCGCCCTTGGCATGGCCAGTTTTATTTGCTGAGTGCTATAAACGGGATCAGATATTCCTGAGTAACTTTGGACTCCTCTTGGGAAAGGTCAGATGACAGATAGCTAAGATCATTCTAACCTTAAAAACAAAAAAATTATTATTTTCTCCCTGTTCCAATTGAAAAACAGCACCATAATACCGGGTTTATGTCTGTATTCACCAACTAAGACTAGAGAACTGTGAAATTTTGCAATTGCCACAGGTTTCCAAATAATATTAATGGGAGGCAGTACAAAGCCGCATGAAACTTGTTTCTATTTACGGGCGCACGGTCCCTCCTCAAATATTGACCTCGATTCCCCTAGTTTCACATTTAATAAATAGGATTTATTGCACTGACTCACTCTCTCGAGTTCTGCCACTCACCCCCCCACTGGCAGCCGTCTCCAAAAGCACCCTAGGAAGTAGCGTGCCAGTTATCCACTGGTTTGGGCACAGTTTCTTTTGCATAAGGAGGATCATCTGTGTTACAGGGTGAGCGATCATCTGCATTACCATGGCAGGTATGGAACGTACTCCCGAGCCGGGATGGTGGGGGTCTGACCACGGGGACCTCAGGGCAGAGCGCTACAACTGCCTGCAAATGCTGGTTAGTTTTGTAAACATCACCGACATCTTCTTCATTCATTACGGTGATTTTTGAAAGGGTGAAGCAGGAGATAAAGGCAAAGGAAATAGAATCTAACCTCAGCTAACCCAGACGTGAGTCTGTCTCCTGCCGTGCTGACCTCCCGTACAGAGCAAACTGCTGTTTCTACATCTGCCTCACCCACGCTGGTGAGCACGGCATCCTGCCCAGAGCTCCGTCCCAGCGCCGAGGGGACACTGGTGCCAGTGTCACACATCCCGCGCAGGCACCGGGAAGAGTTTTCTGTGAAGCTGTGATTAGGGAGAGTGGCAAAGACCCGGTTCCTATGGGACCATTGCATCAAAACCCAACCCAATTCCACTGGAATTAGCTGAGCATCGCCGTGGGAGCATATCCCCCAAGTGCTGGGTTTGCAGTTTCATGCTGAAAGGTACAGAATAAACAGCTCAGGGACC